ATCGCTAAGAAAACATCTTTCTATTCTCATGAAAAAGTCAGTTCTGAAGGGAAATAATCAAGATGAAATTAAACAAAGGAATATTTAGACAGAAGTGAAGTTAATTTTTCTAATACTGTAGTCTGGCTAAAGTGTCTGGAAGGGAAAAACAATTCCCTTACATGGTACAGATCATTATAAGAGACAATATTAACTAGACTGGACAATAGAAAACTTGAACCAAACCCTATTCTTGCAGCAGAAAAGGAATTACTTACCTACTCCAGTACTACACCTGAACCTAATAAAATATTCAGATTTATTCAGTTTCATCCATAAGGGCTATTGAAATAGACATTTACATTTCAAACCAAGAAAACCTTTCTGAAGGTATACATCATTTACACCTCTATTAGAAATCTGTGCAAATAGAGGGAAGAACATGGAAGCAGAAAGAAAGCTTGAGTCATCAGGAACAAAGGAATTGTTCTCCAGTAAGATCATGGCTGGAAAACTGGTTCATTATTACATTATGTTTTGCTAACAAACCCTTTTCTCCACGTTTAACAGTAATAGTATTTTTATAACATCAAAATATATGAGTAGGTTAAATTACTCACTGTCTGAATCTGCATTTATATATTAAAATTATTCAATTTGGAAGAATTGAATTGTGTAACAGCAGACAAAGCAGCATTTTACCAAAAGGAAAAAGAGGTTAGAAGATGCTAAAAAAACCTCCTGCAAATCAAATCCACCATTAAATGAAACTTTTCACATTGGAGAAACAGCATCTTAATTAATTTAATAGAGCTGGCAATGAATTATTGCCAATTATATTAACAGCATCATTCTAACAGAGTTAGGAATTCCTGAGATAGAAGTTTGCAACAAACTTCTGATTCTCAAAGAGATTTTCTTTTGTCCTCAACACAAATATAAAAATTAACACCAGCAATCAAATCTAACACTGAAAGTGATAATAGGTAAAGACTGAAAGTTCATGGGGAAGCAATAGTCTTCTGTTATAAAGCATAGAACAAGCAATTCAAATAATCATATTTTTTCTTATTTACAACTACTGATATGTGACACTAGGAGATTCACTATTAATGCTGACAGTATTTAAAAAATGAGAAACATAGAAGTTGAAAGAAGAAAACTGATGCTGACATGAATGTAAGATTTTTTTAAAATCAAGAAATAATGATAGTAGCATCTACGCAGAAGTTTATCTTTGGCTCTACTTCATAAAGAAAAAAGAACTTTCTGTCAATAACACCACCTTTAAATGTAGTGATGTTTTATGCCTTTTATTCCATTAGTGGAAACAAATACGGATAAATAGCATGGAACAATACTTGGCACAGTAATTTTTAATGACCAACTCGTTCATCAATAGCTTTAAATCACTCTTTTCCTTGGGAGACAGGAGCAGTGAGTTCTGTTGGGCTCAGCAGTAACAGCAGACCTGGAGTCTCATGGTCACACAATCAGTTAAAAGACAACAGCAATGAATTTATGTTTCATAATAACACTTTTTTTTCTTTGTGACATGTCCATTATAGAAAAAATCATTAACGGCCTTATTTACAGAGAATGAATCCCAGCCTTGAACAAACCCAATTTACCAATGACACTCTGCCAACAAATGCTGATTCACCAACTGAGCTAGCGAATTAACCATCGTTTTCTGTACAAAATAACAGTAGACAAAAATATAACTTGGCAGTACTTCCCTCTTGTTAATGTGGACACTAATTAGTTATATAAAAAATATTTGAATTAAATATGTCAAGGTCTCAGAACTGTTTGAGTTCCTCTTTGCTTAATTAATCCAAATATTTAAATTTGCTTCTTTGTGTAATTTGGTGTTTCAACCAGAATCCCACAGACAGGCATATAAAATTATTATTTGCAGACTGCTTATGTAGCTGCCTTTTGAAACCTGCAACTAATATGAAGATATAATCCCCTCATACAAAACATTCTTTAAGAAACATGGTCTCTGTTAATTAGGCAAGTACTTATTATATTCTCTGATTGCCGGACCTCACGTAGCAGACAAATTATTAAGCTTCCTGATTCTTCTTTTCATTGTTGAGTTTAGAATATCCATACAAACAACATTTCAGCTAAAACTTGTTTCCTGATTTTCCCAGAAATTAAGGGAAAAATTATATTGTGGAAGCTGCAGTGATTAGCAACTGTCCTAAATTTTATTTTATTAAAAAAAAAAAACACCCAAAAAAACAAACAGGACAAAAAGCAAACACTGCTGTGTGCATTGGCCCATCTTAGTTTGCTATTTGCCCACAGTTCTCTTTAAATTATGTTCCTTGCAGTATCCACAGAGTACTCTGCAATTAGTGTGATTATTGCTTGAGTTCTCTTTCACAGGACAAACTACAGTTTTTCATTGTTATCCCCAGAATCCTAGCACTTATACTCTGTAGGCTTTTCTAACATAAATTAATTTTCCCTAGGAATACATTCTCCCTCTCTTTCATACACAACTTCAGCACTACAGCGAGCACTGAACAAAAACTGGTGAGATTTGAGTCTCCCTTACCTGCAAACAATGTAACAACACTGTTTAGCAGTAGAAGGGAAAATAATGCATGACAGTTTCTTTTGTTGTGGGCTAAAACTGGAATTAAATTATGAGTTCTATCATTGAATCCAAAGGCACAGTGCAGGATCTTCTATGTATTCAAAAATTATGGAAAACTTCTATCTAACTAAACAAGACAGGCTAATCTATCTTTTGATTTTAAAATGGACTGATACCATTAATTCCAAATTCCTGTTCCACCTTCTTTTCTGTTCTAACCTATATTCAGAGCTCACACAAATTAAAATGATTCTTTTCTCTTGCTGGAATTTTTAAGCTCTTCTTTGCAACTTGCACCTGGTAGCAAGAATCTCATGTGAACAGACTCACAATTTCTTCAAGATGAGATGAGCTCCAAAAAGTCACATCTCACCCCATTTGCAGTGTCATAACTTACAGGTAATCTGTAATTACATTGTCTTCCTGGCAAGTACTGGAAGTAATATCAATATTCTTTATAAGCAGATCAGTCTTCCAGAGAAAATCTTCTGGACACATGGTAAACTGTGAGCACCTATGGGAACAAATGAGGATCTGTGCTGGGCTGCTCCATCACTGTCAGTAATTTGATATTAATTCAGAAATCTAGCCAGAATTTGGAAGCAATTTCTATAAATCTTTTTAATGTCACAAACTGTATGACAGTTATTTTAATGATAAATAATAATATCCTACAGAAAGGAAAGCCATACAGATAAAAATGTTCACATGCATTTTTTCCTTTACTTTTTAAATGGGGTTTTAGGATAAACATGCAGAATGGATGCACTCTCGGAATTAAAGAATCAGAAGTGAGATGGAAGGTGTTTACTGGGACTTAAAAAAAAAAAAAAAAGAAAAAAAGATGTTCTAGTCATGTTTTATTAATTAACAGGTGCAAGGCAAGGCTGCTAAGAGGGGCTCCTTCCATACTGCTGAACAGAACACAACTGCTATTACAAGAATTACAGAATATTATTTAACACCACAGAAAAAAAGCAGAAGTTTGCTTCCTTTTCAAAACAGAAGGCATGAATGTAATGCTCATACTAATATGGCATTTATTGGGATGAAAGAATTGAGTCTTAATAAAGTGATAAATAGATAATAAAGAGACTGCTGCAAAGCTCCAGACAATTTAGTTTTCAGATCACTGCCAGAGATTGTGCTGTAGAGTCAAAGAAATAAAATGAGAAAAAAACAAATAGCTCAAGGATAATAATAAACTTACTCCCTTAAATAGCAAATACTTGTTTTAATGGAGAACTGCCAACACCACTAGGTTAGCAGAAGGCTAGCAACTTTTCAGGGTAGTATTTCTTGCAAATACAATAGCTAAAACTGATAACAAAATTTGAATTGACATATCCATAACACCTGCAGACTCACGTATGTAACATTATAAATAATTTTCCACAAATGGAAGCTTTTTTTCTTTTCTCTGAAACGATGTTACTTCACATTTTTCGTAATACTTACACAGAATAAATCAGATTCTTTCCATGAGGAAATTACCACTTAAACACTGAACAGGAGAAGTGGTTAAGACATTGCTCAGAAGCAATCTACTGATATCATTTCACTAACTTGGTTGAACAACTGCCAAGCCAGATCAGTCCTAAACTGCATTTAATCCAAGATGCAGCTTTGAGGAGTGTTTTTTACCAAATGCTTCAGAGGCAAGTCAAAGAAACATCAGAATTAGCATTCACTTGGCAAATGTATAGAAAAATAACATCTAAAAAGCATAATTTATGTAAGTGAAATTGAACTCCATTTTATGCATACCACTTCACAATGGTTTTGTAATCTAGAACGTGCCTTACACTATTTTCCATTCCTGTAAAATACTGATAAATTCAGAAAGCTCAGGAACAGCAGTGGGGTCATTAGTTGAAGGCCTCTGTGCCCTTAGACCAGAGCAGCTGTGGAATATTCTGACTCCAGATGAGCTGCACAGGCATGGCTGAGCACTGAACCTGACATACTCACTTCAGACAGTATTTATTATGGTAGGAGTAACACTCTCCCTGTGTGTCATGCTACATCTGGTAAATATACAGGTTTAAATGCAAATTGAGAAACCGTCTGGAAAGACCTGATTAGGATGAGAAAAATGTGCTCTGTGCTGAAGAATAACAAATATGTTACTTTATAGTTACCAAAAGGTAAAAAAGCTGTAGGGCAAGCAAGTATGGTCAGACTTGGTCTAACAAACAGGTGAAACAAGTTATCCCTTCCAACCTCTTAATGTATTGTTTTTTGAAACAAAATTTAACCCGATTACAAAAAAATTTAAAAAGTTAATGTGCGTTTTTGAGGTCAAAATTCTTAAAACAAAATAACCACCTATTGCTGTGTAAGGTCAACTGATCGTAACCATGTAACTTCATAAGCTACAAGTGAAATCAAATATTTTATTTCTAACCTCTGCTGCCAGCTGCTGAAGAGAAGGAGAGGCCACAGGCCGTAAAGTTGAGTTGCCTGTGACTGGATTATGGAGGCTGATGTAGGCCACAACATTTCTTTGAAGAACACTCCTCAGATCCTACAACACAAGCAGAAAAATGGTTACTACCCTGCATCGTTATAATTAAGGCTGGTTTTGTTCTTTTGGTTGCTTCTAGGGAAAAACTGCACCCTACATTTGCATCCTGTGCGATTCTCCAAGTATTGGTTAACTACTGCTTCTCACAATATGCTCTTGTAAACTTCAAAGGATATCTCAGTGCTATTTCTCTATATAGCAGAAGTTATAATTCCATTTCTCACATCATCTAAAGAAAATGCAAACAGGTCTGGGAGGAATTAAAAATTACTACACTTGTAAGGCCAAAAATGAAAACATTACACACTGTGAAACAACACGATGGCCTTTTAAACTTATGCCTTACAGAAGACAAACTTCAAAAGCAATCATTATCAACAGTTAAATGGACTCAAATATTTAGAGACCAAACTCTGATTTGAATTGCATAACTTTCCCAGTGTTTTCATTTTATTATTTTTTAGGCTATAAAAATAGCATGTACAAACTGTTTCAATTATTATCTCTTTTTTAAAAGGATCCCCTTTGCCTTCTCAGTAATGAGTTCCTCTTTGCATGAAGTGGCTCTTTATATTGAACAGAAGGGGTGTAATGCAATTACATCTGATGCAAAGCTGACTTGAAGTGGAACTAAACAAATTTTGCTTCCAGCCTGGATCTTTTCAATTTGATTTTTTTCACCCCCTCTTGTTTCTGAAGAATAATCATGTTGGAAGTATAAAATTTCAATGAGGGCTGGCTGCTTCTTATGCACGGTAAAAAGCAATTAACTCTTTATTTTATCTACTGTTTTAATTCATTGAACCATTAGAGTTGGAAAAGCAGCCATGAAATTCGCTGCCTAGAGGAGTAGAAACTCCTTTAATTTATGACCTGAAGTCTTATGTTGGCCAAGTATGATCATCAATATTTTTTGAGGTGGTTTTTTTTTTCAACCAGCTGATTCCCATTCTGCTGAAAGTAAGAGCCAAGGAATTGTCTGTTTGGGATTGTATCCAACTCCTCAGCACAAACCTGTGGGAAGTGAATCAGCACTAGACATGGAGACACTGCAAGGTTTGTTTAATTCATGTACACCATACCACGGTTCTCTTCTTTCTCTCTTTAGTCACTTCTCTCCACACTAAGCCTATCGATGAAAAATTACTAAATATTAAGCCCTCAAGAAGGTGAAAAAGCTCTCTAAGCTCTTTCTGTGCCTGTGTTGCTTTTTGAGGTTTCCCTCTCTCTGTCAACCCCTGGCAATGCACTTTTAGAGCTGTGCAGGGAGGGAAAGCAGCTCCCAAGGGTGCTGTATATGCAACCTCCACAGCCATGGCAACCTCCTGGCACCTCATTATCCCAGGAATGGCCTCCACAGATGTTTTTCCTGGATTTTCTGTGCAGTACATGAATGAACACAGACAGACCTCAGAGGGCAGTTAATGAGCCACAATTTCCATGCGGTAATTTAATATTTTTTCCACGCTTTCAGCAGAAGGAACCCTCCCTGCAGTGAGTCCTCCCAGAGCAGCTTTACCTCAGCCCACTCGTAGGAGCCGATGTTCCCCAGGGCTGTTCCTCCCCAGGAGCAGAAGAGCAGGGTCCTGTCAGGCCTCCAGCCCCTCCTCACCTCTGGCATCAGGGCTTGGAGCAGGGCTGTGATCACAGCAGTGCTGCTGGCCCAGCCTTGCCCACCAAAACCCTGCAAACTGCTGTGATGGCTACCAATGATGACGTATCTGTCTGAAATGAGGAATAAAAATAAAATTAAAAAAAAATTAAAAAACCCCAAAAATCAAACTTTCTTTTCTGGATGCTCAGATTAAAAGAATTCCAAACACCCCTAAAAACTGACTGGATTAGTAGTGTGTAATGTCATTAATGCAACACAAAGCTGTCAACAAAAAAGTATATGATGACATGCAAGACAATCAATCAATTATACACAAAACTGTGAGTGCTACTTAAAAATTAACTACTGGATAAATTAATTCTCATGTCCTTGCCTTCCTTGTTTGCTTATTTCTCTCCTTATAGATCTGATATAGAGTATTTTTACAGCCAGGACTAGGTCATATCATGCTCACAGTAGAGTGTCATGAAATAACATAAAATAATAAGTAGGAAATGATCCTTAATATACATAAGCATCCAAAAAAAAAAAAAAGAAATTAAAAAATAAATAAAATAAAAGTTGTGGCAGTACAGTTGGAAAGAAAGAAAAACTAAGAAAAGACACAAAGTATTAGTACTCCCTCACCTGGAAGACTGTGTTCAGTGCTCACCACCCTATCTCAAAAAAGACATGGCAGAAACAGCAGTGGAGCAGCTGGCAAGCAGATTAGAGATGATCAGGACTTAGCCTTATGTGGAAGGAGACATTAAAATACCTGGACTGCAGGTTTGGAGAGGAGACATGACAGAGGGATAGAGATAATGAATGATACAGATATGGTAAGTCACACCTAGCAGCTGTGTTAATGCTGGAAGAAAGCACTTTATAGAATGAAAAGCAAGAAGTTTCAGCCTGAAATAAAAAATATGCCTACGGTTACTCACAGAAAAAATACCACAAAAAACAAACACACAATTTTTTCCAGAGAAATAAAACTTAATCTCCCAAGGCATTATATATAACCCCCATACCACTCATAAGGGAGAAAAAACCCCTTATTTTACTTCAGAACCAATGATGTTTTATGAAATAACATGACTGACTGGTGTGACTGAGGCCTGTCAAGAAGTCCAAGCAGTTATTCTGAATGAGCTATAAACCATTAGACCTTCTGTGTCAGAGGAATTCACAACCCTCTTTGAAGGACTGTTTACTGGTTTTTCTCAGATATTTTGTAAAGTCTTCTTCTGGCCCAGATCTAGATTTTTAAAGGTTTAAAGATCTAGATTTCTTTCCTATTTCAGGGTATCAATAGACAACAGAAGAACAGCTACCAGCAGTGAAGAACAGTGATGACAGACCCATAGCAACCCCTGAGTGTCATTTGGGTTCCAAAAAGTGGAAAAGTTTTCTTTATTTTTCTTTCACCAAGTGAACTCATTCACTTGCTGTCAGTTGATCACAATGCAGCAACAGATTATTGCACATTGCCCACATTTTGTATTTGCTTATAAAATTAAAATATGTACCCTCTATGTCTTGCAGTGATTGCTGCCTGGGAACAGTATTAATAGAACACTTTGATTAAAAAAGCATTCTCTATCAAACTGGAATTTCACCAGCATTGTTCAACAAAATATTTGAACATGTTGTTTAATAAGGAATAAAAAATGCTTTACAAAGAGATGATTTTTTATGTACCTGTAACACAACATTTTCAATCAACTTTGGGGGTGTGTAGGTATGGAAACGAGAATTTCATTCTAAAAACAGATATGCAAAGTGTCAACCTAGACTTACATAATAATTTAATGCAACTAAATGAAATCTAAATCATATAATTTTGCAACTTGTGTGTTGCACCATGATATGCTTAATTATAGGTTGCACTGACAATGAAGAGACACAGGATTTTCAACTCATTAAATGACAGGAATTAGGAACCAAAATGAATGGCCCTACACGCCTCTAGGTCATTAATGGAAGAGCCACTAACACAGGGGGATCAGGCAGGATCAATGCTTCTCTGTATAATAATTCCTGTTTAGCCTGTGAACAGACCCTGTGAGAGGACAGACACCTTATTAAAATAATGCAGGATATTTTGATTGAGAAGGAAGCATCAACTTACTGCTGGAGATGCCAGCTGAACGAGAAGGGGCAAAACACAACAGCTGGTGCCTCCTATGAAATTCTTCATCTTTGCACATCTCTCCCTCAAACAGAGGCAGAACCCTAAAGCAAATGACTACAGGAAAAGCAGAGGAGAAAGGATGGCCATGCTAGCAGAGGCAGCAGCTGTCCTTTCTCAGAATCACATGGCAAAAATTAAAAAAAGAGAAAGGTCTGGAGATAGAGAAAAAAAATATCCATCAGATACCCTTGATACCCTGAACACCCAGGATAGTGTTCAGGTTAGTGATGGGCTGGGATTTATCAACCACAGGGATTTATCATTAAAAAGAGTCTCTTTATCTTGTCTTTTCTTGTTATACATCCCATCTTCAACCATGTCCAATAGAGCTATAAAAATGTTACGTTTTTTGGGTTTTAAAATGTTACCAACCATCACATTTCATCTACTCCTAATGATTTTAACATCTTAGTTACACTTGAGATGCTCGTTCTTACTCCTCAGATCAAATGCCAGCTAAGGTCAGCATTACAGAGATGTGTGTGTTTGCTGGACTTTAAGCAAAAAGTAATAAATTCTACCCTTGGTGATGCTCTGCAGTCTTTCATTAAGCGCTAAAGATAAATTTTGTCTTCTTTCTGCACTTCTGTGAACATAAAGGTGAATATTTCATGTGCATGAAATGAGCAAAACCCCATCAAAATGACAGAGAATCGATGCCATGAAAATATCAAGATTCAAAGCAGTTGAGAAGGAACGACTGCAGTGTCAACCAGGAAGAGTAGAGAAAGAAAAAAAGGTTTAACATTGATTGTGTGCAAAATATTACAGAGCATTAGACATTTAACTTGTGCCTATAGTAGAAGACAGTTGTTATGGCTCTCGTTGAGCCAGACATCCATGGGACAAACTGTTGCCATCTGGGTACTGCTACTGACTTCACTTATTTATACATCCTTGGATACCTAAAGTTCAGCATATATTGGCAAACTTCCAAAAAGTAGATTCTGATTAAAAATGTAATAATAAGATGAAAGGTGCAGGTTTAGGGAAGATAGAAGACTTGTTAAACAGAAACTGAAGCACACTTTTTATTCTTTTTCTTGCCTCTGCTTCACAATTCAGAAGACAGAATGTCTAAACATGGCAGTTTCTGCCTTTCCAACTCCATGACAGCTATTTGCAAAACATTAATAATAGCAGACTGGTAACTTCAAATTCATGAAGGAAATTAAATCCTTCATAGAAATTAAATTCTCTGTGCTAATTTTTTCCTCTTTTGCTTTAAACAAACCAAAAGTCTGGTGAGAAGTATACAGTTCTGCATGCACAAAACTGAGTTATTTCACCAACAGCTATAAAATTTTGTCCACCTCCTTCATTCCATTACTTAAAATATGAAATGACTGGCCCATCTCCTAAGGGACTTTAAATAAATTTCCATCCTTTCTTCATAACCTAATACAAGAGTATTAACACAAGCATGATGCTGTTTTGATGATCATCTGCACACTAGGAATTGTTTCCACTATGTAAGTAACCAGCAACAGCATTCATTCATGTTGCAGAAACCCTTCACCTTTTAGGTTAATTCACTAACTAACAAAATAATCTCCAAATTATCTTATATCCTGATGATAACATTATTTATGTACAGCATCAAAGAACAGAGCGAGGTTGTACTTTATGTCCCAGTTGCATTTAGAGTTCTATTGTTCAATCATCAGACACAGAGAACAGTAATTATTATTCATAGAATTGTATAAAACTAGCTTAAGGCATGATTGAGACACAAAATAAGACTGCAGCAAGTGTTAAAACCATATTAAAATTAAAACCATTGAACAGCTGCCTGTACAGACTACTGATACTTTCTGTGGCCCACGTGCAACACCTGCTGCTCGTGTACAAAATATATTTTTTTAAACTACAATATCCCCTTCAGCTCATTCTCTGTTTAATCCTCATATTCTGTTTTGTCACAAATCACAAAATGAGTACAAAAAAGTCTTTTTCTCTCCTCTGTATTACTAAATTATCTGGCAAAATAGGATCCTGATCCCAGCTATGACTCTCACCCATAGTGAAAAAAATAATCAATACAAATGACAAAGGGATACTTACCAGGAAATACAGCTCCTTTTAGATATCCAATGACATTAGAAATTGTCTTGTAAGTTGTGACAGACTGAATGTTCAGACTGATAGTTTTTTTGACTGTCAAAAGATTAAAAAAAAAGAAAATGTTGAACTTATTTACCCAGTCAATAAATGTACAGGCCAAAGACATGAATTCCACGTACATTAAAAAAAAAAGAATTTAACATGAGGTTAAAAACCAAACCTGAATAGGAACCACAGATTAAAACATGAAATACGACATTATTTTCTTAGCCTTATTTTAGCAGCATGATTCAAAGATGGAATCTCAAAAGAGATCTCCACTCTTTGAGTTAAAAGATCATTGAATTCACTCAATAAATTCTGTCAGAATAAAACAGAAAAAGAAAATTTTTAAGAGTAGGATTTACATAACTCTGTGATCACAAAATCTGCCTTAAACTTCATGGGTTTTTCTCACCTAATCCTTCACCTAGGTCAATCTGTCAATAACATTCACAAAATTATACCTGGTTTATATTACATTTTCTTCTGGAGAAAAGCCCCTGTGTTAAATCATATGGGAGCAGTCAGACCTCCCCACAGCTTTGCCAGCACAGCCTTTGATGATGTTCTTGTGAACATATGCCAACAGAAGCCAGGGTTTTTGGCTTAGCTGGCATCAGATGAGGAAATGGTGCAAGTACAAAGGCAAAACTATTTCAAAAGCTGCTAAAATGTAAGGAACTTGCCAGGACTGCCGTGCCATTTGAGACTGTAGCACAGAATAAAGCCAGAGTAGAGCAGATATCTGAGTTTAAACAGATTAAAAGAAGGTGGGACACAGTAACCACAGGAGTTCCTGCAGTTTGTGACAGTGGAAACCAAACAACCACCGAAGGGGAGCTGCTGACACCTTCCAAATATTTCATTTGCATGAAAACAGACCGTGTGAACATCCAGCTCATCTGAAAGGTCACAGCTTCTATCCAAGAGAAATGAAAATGTCTTAAACTGCCTGAACTCAACAAGCAGCAGCAGTGCCCGAGCCCAGACCTGCAGGGGGATTCTCCTCCATCCATGAATTCTCCACCCCTGTGGCAGCACTGTGCTTGAAGCATCCCTGGGACACAATTCCTCCCATGTCCATATCCCAGCTGCCACAGACCACAATTAAAATACTCCACAGATCATTTTGCTCTATGTCCCAGGCCACTATCCTCCCATGGATCTATTTCTAGCAGTTTCTTCCCAGGCTTTGTTTCCCGAAGTGCACAGAACATGCGAGTGGGGAGTTTACTGCAACAGGTGAAACAAAAACAACACATGGTTACTGTTCTTCAGGGTTCATTTGCTGGTTCATACAGTAAATTTACCTCAAAATGTTCTTAAAATAAAATACAGTATATTTTAATTCACTTGTCTTCATTGGTATTTTTTTAAAAAAGTGAACTGCTAGTGTTTGTTTAAAAAATGAATTAACAATAGTTATTCTATTTTTTATTCAGACAAAACCTCTTCAGTTATCAACAGATGTGTCTTCTCTATGACAATTCTGGTTTTGCTTGAACAAACCAGTAAAGAAAATGCAAACCAAGCAGTTAATTAAAAATAAACCCTGGCACATGACTTTGCAACAACCAGTCACAGCACATTAATATTTTTATTTGTCACGTAATTAACTTTGCTCTTCTGGTTTAAGTTACTGTATTTTAAAATTATTATTAGTGCCATGTAAATTAATTGTTTGTTCAATAAATCCACAGATATTTTAGAATTTAAAAAAAAATCATGAAAAAAATAGTCCAAAGGATTCCCAAAGGTTCTTGTTTTAAAACATGTGAAAACAGCTCAAGCCATCTATGTTGGTTAAGGAGCTCAAATTTAATCTAAACTATGCAAGTTACTTCTTGCTGTTGTTTCTTACCCACAACCATTCTAGAGCCAATTTACTCTTCTTAAAAAAACATATTTTAAAGTCAAAACTGATTTCCTTTCCTTTTCCTACAACACTTCAGATGTTTGTTCCTTTAGGCCCAGTCTCAGACAAAAAGTAGATAAATCCTTTTAAAGACAACTGACTTCACTGTTTTTCCTTAACCAACATCAGCTATCCAGTCTCTAACTGACAATAAAGACACAGAAAATTAACTTCTGGCAATACCCACATTCTCCAATCAGACACTGCAGTTAATAGTCATGTAACACAGTAGTCAGCTTAAAGTGACTTGGGCTTAAGGGCTTAGAACACCAGATGAAAGGCAGAAACTGCTCTTTAGAGTATACAGCAGAAGCAAAATTTAATCCCCTCTAAACAGTTCTGACAACAAACCTCTTGTCCTAATGCTGTATTTTAAGGATCTTGACAACTTTCTCCTTTTTTTTTTTTTTTTCTTTCCTATACTCTCTGAAAAGCTATGAGGAGACTTTACCTTCACAATATTCAGGAAACACTGTCTTCATGTAAGCAGAAAGCTACTTCTGGGATAGAAGAACACAAACATATTTACTGGTTTTATTTAGTTAGTTAGTTAGTTATTTCCTGACCTGGAACTTTTAAATTGTCTCATACCAAATAACTGCCATTATTACTACTTAATAATGTATATAATCTCAGAAAAATATTGTGTGATACTATAAAATTACATATGCAAAAATCAATACTGAATCTATGCAACGTACAGTATTGTTGAGGTATAAAACTATTTGTACAGGAATATGTCAGAACTCCTAGTCCAGATGTCCTTGTAATGAAAAGCCTTCACTTTTTTTTTGTGTATAAACAATACACTATCTAAATCTGGTATCTCTAATATGGTATCTCTAATATTTTTCCCTAATATATTTCTATTTGATTAGTCAACCATGTAGCCAAGTGACAACATATTCTCCTTTTTGAACAAATATTCATAGATCTTGAGTCTCTAAGTCTAATCTTAGTATGAAGAAGATAATGAATAAACTCCTTGGTATTTGATCATCATCTTTTTTGACCTACAATGAGGAATCCAGAAATAAAACTCTTCAGATGAAGAGTTTTTGAAATAAGAAATGCCTAGAATAAAGTCCTTTAAGGAGGCTTTAAACTAGGAAGGTCTAATGTGATACAGAATAAATGTGTCACAGTCAACATCAAAGAGAGTTGAAAATGCTTCAGATGGTAGAGTTGAATTTCATAACCTCACACTACTTTCTTTCTTTACCTGCTTTATAGCAATCAAAAGCAAAGCATCACAGAGGAGAACACTGGGGCAGAACAGAACTCTGAAAATATATCTTGGTAATTTACAATTCTGGTAGAAAAACTCTTGAGGCTTCAGCTGGGAGTAGAGGGAAGATATATAAAAAATGCTTCACACTGTTCATGCTTAATTCTTCTCATGAACTTCTGTTTAAAAAAGGAACAGAATTTAAAGTGATCATGAAAAGAAAATCTGAGAGTATTGGTATAAATGTCTGTAAGTTTTCATATACAGGATGTCTGAATTAGATCAGAGCTCCCTATTTAATTTGTTCTTCTTTCAAATGCCAGTAAGAGACATCTGCTGAACTTTGTTATATTTCTACTGCTATGTATAATGACTCCAGATTTGGTAGATGCAGTAACATGCACTGCCACACAATCTGCTGGCATCTTTCTCTATTTTCTTCTTTGGATTCATGTTTAGCATAGTCCAAATCCCCAGAAATTATGGTATTGTTTGCATATTGATATCACAGTGTGAGATGGCCCAGACAGAGTTTATTAAATATGGGAGTCTTTATTTCCTCTGACAGGTAGCAAACTATGAAGGAGAAACACATATAATATTATCACAAGGCTGTAGTTTAACAGGAGGAGATAGTCACTTTATCACTCCATGCCCTTCCTCTGACTGAAAAGAAGACAGGTTTGATTTGCACTAGTGCAGCACTTGGCAAAGAATTTTATTTATCTTGGATGAGAATCGTATAATATGGAAAGTAACAGACTCTTCCAATTATTCTTTTCGTATAATTAATGATTCAAATTTCACATGATCAGAGCTGACTATAAACTCAGTATAATGAACATCTGACACGTGGCACTACATAAAATAGATGTTCAAAGTCTCATAAAAATTCATTGTGTTGTGCTACAAACCTTTCCAGTAACAGTCAGTTCTGGTTATCTGTTCCACTCACCCATTTTGTCAGAGGAGGTAGATTTGTTTGCAGCCTACAACGGAGCTCTGCGCTGCAGTCACTGTGATGATTCACTATTGATCAGTGACTGCATTTTGTAGACTAAAAAAAGGTTACAAAAGATCAAAAGATTCTACCTAGAAAAGCATTTTGATCTGAGTAATTTTACTGTCTGCAGCAGAATGCTGGGAGTCTTTGTGTACCTGGCTCTATTATTCACACAGTGTTTGATATCATTCAAGTTACTTAAACTATTCATGCCTTGCCTTTATAATTTTAGAAGTATAAAAAAATTACACCTATTGCACAGGAAAAGGCATTAGGAGGAGATAAGAAGTGGGATGTTTAAGTGAGATCACTTGCATTTACACTTCTTACCAACTGAGCTGCCATTGTGGGTCACACCAAGTGACCATCCAGTCCTTATCTCCAAGAGTGACCAGCAACATAAACGTGGAGAAGAATGGAAGAAAAGGATGAGCCACAGAAGAGGAGGATGCCCCAGACACCTGGAGACTGATCACTACTGAAATCCTGGATCTTTCTCACCTTCTCTCTTTTCAGACAATCAGGTTGAGTATGAAAATTGACACTTAAAACCAAAGGGAAAAATTACACACATAACACTGATGTGTTTAAACAGCAGGCTTCCAGGATTTCCATTCAAACCAAAGTATATGGTCATTAGTGTCAAAAAACACTTTGTAAATGAATTGCTATTAGATAGATTTACATTAAATACTCAAGAGTTTAATTGAAAAAGGGTAATTTGTACATTACTGCAATCTCCCAAATAGTGGGACACTTAACAGCAACAAAGGCAGTTCACTGTACACAGCAAGACTTCCCTCATTTATGTTTACAGGAGTGCTCTAGTTTTACAACAACCTTCAAAATGTTCTAGCAAATGTCCTAGTAAGATTTTGTAAAAAAAAAAGAAAGCTTCAAAAGTTTACAGTTTCTCTATAAAAGTTCACTCTGAAATTCCTTCTAATTGCCTATCTTTGGGAAAAAGTTCACGGGAGCATGGAATTTCAGATTAATGAGGATTAACAATAATGTACCACACCAAACAAAAAGCAAATCTAATTACTGACTTCATCTAACACCAAATTAACAGCTGACTTCAATTCCCACTATTTGCTTTGTAGGTCCTGAGCACTCAATCTGTGTGGGATGTTTGCCTCCATCCTCCCACTCCCTCTGTCACATTTTGTCTCTTGAAAACTGCATGGCTAAGGGAAAAAAGCAGCAATGTGAGAAAACTATATATAAATGTTTAATCATTACTGATGAATCTGCTGTTCAGCTTTTTGAAACAAAATGATGAGAGAATGATGATCATTTTATCCTAACAAATTTCAAGCCAACCAATCATCTGAATTGCTCATTCACCTCTTTTGACAGATAAGTGATGAGTCCTACATCAGAAGTGAAATCTCTCTCTTAAGCTTCTTCAAATCAACAGGAAGACTGCAAATTCAACCTTTGCTCTTCTCTAATGCCTTGATGTCATCAGCATTATCTCTTTAGCTATTACCAGTATTAAAATGTTACACACCATTTTTTATCATGAGACCAGGCTTTTATCTCTTCTATTAAGGCTGCTACTGAACAACAGCACACTCTGTGCTCCAGAACATCAACAGCTTCACCATTACTTCAGAAAAAACTATAATACATTACAGAATTATTCAAGGCTTCCCTCTTGTAGTCCCTATTTTTTCAATAAATAAAAACTTTAAAAAAAATTCCCTGTGGATTACTGTGGTTCAGAAGCTTTACATGAAATCACACACAAGCTGTTGTGTTCACTCAGAGAAAACCAGACACGGACTGGCTCTCACTAGACTGCTGGCTTGGAATATTCTTTCTTCCCAGAAATTCTCCTCTCACAGAATTCCTGTCTTCTCAGGGAAAAAAAACAGACATGCCACACCTGTCACAGAAAAAGCAGAATAAGCTGCCCTTTAGGGTGATTCTGTCCTGCAGCCTCCAGAAAAATCTTTTTGAAAAACAGACATGGTGCAGCCTTTTATCTTTCTAAAATGAATGTCATTTTCCAGCCCAAATTCGGGCTTTGCTCCAGGCGCTTCAGCTGTTGAAAATTCCTTCAATACTAACAAGCTTCATGCAGCCTACCTGGAATGGTTAAGCACTCGTTCCTTCCAAAATGGCCTTTTCCCCTTTTCTACTTGTTGTGGGGACAATAATTTTTAAAATTAAAAGTTCATTTAAAAAAAAATCTAGTCAGCCATGCATGGAGAACAATTGTCCTGCCTAACTACAACAGCTTAAGCCACGAAGCATGAGGTCTTCTGCCTTCCTTTTTTTAGTATGTATAACTACAAATGCTAACACAAGTCATAAAATTAATCAACCTTTTTTATGACTTGTTGTATTGTATTCCTGTTCCACAGTAACTTTCCAAAAGCAATAAACAAGGGATACAGCACATGATACTACATTGGTTGCCCTTAAAATTTGTTTTTACTGTTATCATCACTGTGTGTAGCACAGGATACAGTGGCTAAATTAAATTTGCCTCCTCCTTTCCAAGACCACAGTTTCAAATCAATTCAATTAAATGGGCATTATAGTGAAATAAACCATTTTTTTTTCTGGTGAAAGATGGAGAGGTACAAAACAAAACTGAAGACTGTTTACTGAAGAATTACTGTTTAAACATGCACCTCATCTAGAATGTTCTCCGAAAGATGTTCTGGTGAAACACTGTGCTGGAGGGAGACTGTAGTCTTAGTTTTTTTTCCCCTTTCCTATATCAGCAATAAGTTTTTTCAAGCAATAATATGTTTGACTTTGTTAATGGCATCATTTCTCAGGAGATAGTATGAATGCATTCATCTGGCTCTACTCAAGGTATATTGCTCTTATCATGATGCCTGTTTTCCTGGTGAAAATTGGGAGAAAAAGCTGCCTGAGGGTTCAGGCCACAATACACTGTTTATTCCATAGCATATACAAATTAAGGAACACAAAGACACATTCAGAATTTAAGTGTTATTATTACAGAAACAGAAAAAAAATCCCCAAAGAATAATATAGTTACTGATGTCTTAATATTAAATCACATTATTAGCAGTACAAGAAAGCCTAACAAACCATACTGCAGCACTACAAACCTCCCTAGTGATGGCATCTACACAGAGGAGGTTCTAAGTCAATATTAAGAATTAGTGCTCAATGTCTTCCACTATTTTTTTTTAAACCACAACTACCATCTATCAGATTTTAAGAGCAGACTGCTCATAGCCACTTCTAGAAAGCATCTAAGCAAAACACATCCATAATCAGCTAAACCTTGGTTGTACAGTTGTGGAAAGTGGCTTTGGAGTCCAAGAGGAACATCCCATAGGTGAAGTGTATTTGAAAAGCATTACCTGCAGCTGGCAGTTGGAGGGGTGCACACCTGTCTTTTTGGGAAGTGTCCTCAGGTAGGGAAAGAAGTTTTCTGGCAAACACTGCAGAAATTGGTTGTACCAACAGTGTTGTGAGGTTCAGTCGATTTTGCCTGTAGCTTCCATCTTAAGAGACATAAAGGGAAGAGCAATTTAGTAAATGAAAATTAGATTTTTCTCCTTCATAAACCAAACACAAAAATGCAAATCTCTACCACACAACTTAAAACAAATGATTTAGATAAGCAGCTGTTGTTCTGTGCTTATTATACTGAAAAAAAAAATAAATTAAAAAGCTTCTGCAAGAACATCAATTACAAAATTACATGTACCTATTATGGCATCTGGGCAATAGTTCCACAAGAAAGAAACTGTTAAATGAATCTGAGCAGATATTAGATTGTAAATTAAACACAACAAATTAAATTGGTGTGTAGTTAAAGGAATCACTGAAAAATGGAAGAACTGATCAGCAATAACTTTCAAATTCAAGTAAAAACTGAACAGCTGAAGGAGGTCTGGAATAAGAAGGTATTAAACAGGCACATTGAGTGGAGAAAGGTATGGATCAGAAAGCATCAGAATACTTCATTTACAGGTGAAACATCTTAAGCAGACATAGCAGAAACATCTCAATGTCAGTAGTTTCATGAAAAGTATTAAAATCTCCCTTTAACTGAAAAAAAAGTGAGTTTGCATACACCTGCCTGTCTAACACCTGACCACGGAAATGTTTCAGATGAGATAATGAGAAATCTTGGGAGACCAACTGACAGAACTGTGGGGAAAAATAAAAACCTAACTTCGCACACAGAAACGCTCTGAAACACTTCAGGAAAGAACAGCTATTTCCTCAGCTCATTCAGCTGGCCTAATATGTGTCGCCCTGATTTTGTAAGACTTTGTTAAGCCTTCTGATGTTTACATTCTTTCAACAAACTTTCTCACACACAGTTCTGTAAATAACTTATGTTTTGCATTCTTTCATGGAGGTGGAGAGAATCGATGGACTCTTGGTCTGTCCAGTGGCACTGGAGAGGTGGCACTGTCACCCTCCAATCCACTGTCACCTTTGGAAAACTATAAATGTTGGAGTCAGAAAATAAAGTTCTTCTTCTTCTTTTTTGTTCCCCTCGAGAGCAGCAGTGTCTGTGTCATCATTTCGTGCCTTATCACAACAAATATGGGGATCATCTCTTCCCATGGAAAGCAGGAACACTTCTGGCAGATGGAAAGCCCAGCACGGAAAAGGAGGGGAGGTTGATAGCCTGGGCAGGAAGGACACAGCTCTGACACAACCTGCACAGCCTCACCGTGTACCTGCCCCTGCTGAATCGTGCCCAAACCTTCAACCAGAGATTCAGAACACAAGGCTTCTCCCCGAGACCTCTGTGAAACAAACACTGTATTTCCTGTCAGCACTGAGTTCTTTACTACCCAAAAGCATCCTTTAAATTCCCTGGGACTGCAGGCACAAGGGGAGGAAGCTATCAGCAATCAGCAGCATGTTTTAAATTATTTTCTATGGAACTACTATCAGGACTGTTGTTACTGAAACACAGTATATAAAAAAAAAAGAAATCTAGATACATCCTTAATTTTAATTTATTTTTTTTCTAGAAACTCATGAAACTTTTTATAGTAAACTTTTATTCCTAATGAAAAAATTGATCAAAACTGTATCATTTCATTATGGAAAAACAAAAGGTGTTGTTCACCTTTAACACTCAGTGGCAAGGCGATCAGTGCTCAGTTTGAAAGTATCAGACAAATTTTTAGGTGGAAAGGTAAAGATGGTTCAAAATATAATTTAAAAAAAAAAGCTTTGTTTCATCAAAGTTGGTCTGGGCTCAAAATCTCTTAGAGTTGTCACTTCAGTAAAGTGATGGCAAAATCAGTTCGGTCAAGCTTTGAGAGTCTGTTTCTGCACTCAAAAAGAATCCCAAAAAGTCCATCAGAGATGTGCAATTGAGACATTATTTTCTGTCCAGTGTTTGTCAATCTGCAGACTGTATTACAGGGGCAATGAAGCTCAAAACGCTTCAGATGAGAAAAATCTCTCCTTTCTCCAGTTACTCACAACTTGAGCTTCACACCTGAATAACCTGTGAAAGACACACTTTCAACAACACCTTACAGGAGAAACCCCTCCATATTTAAAAATGAATCATTTCACAACAGAAGATGGAGTTTGAAGCATGGGAGAAAAAGGAAAAAACATCCTTAGAAAGGCAGATTTAAGTTATCTGGGCAGATTTATCTGGAAGAAAAACTTTCTAATAGGAGGAATTCATAAAGACTTGCCTAGGCAAGTGATAAAATCTCTTAAACTGAAATATTTTTAGAGAAAAGTGTAAGCAAACATCTGTCAGGAATGATGCAGATATGGCTGATGCCCTCCCTGAGGGATGGTGCTACATTAGATGATCTCTTGACATCTTTTCCAGAACTAAATTCTGTAAAATTCTCTAGTAACTAAACCTGATGAACTAATAACAGAGAAAAAACTACTATTGGAATATTAATATTAATAATATTAAAAATGCTTAAAAAAAAACAAACCCCAAAACCAAAAAAAAAACCCCAAGTTCCTTCCCTCTTCCAGGCATTTATTAATTGCCACTTGTTAAGGAGGCTGAGGAAAGCAATGTGCATCATGACCAGATTTCCACAGTGAACCAATCCAAGACCAATCTCTCCAGTGCACATTTAAAAACCTGGAGATTTCAAGGGCTGCTACTTAAAGCCTAATCATTCAGGTTTAAAATACTCATGGGCTTGGTGCTGTAGTGACAGTGAAACAGTGCAGAGTAACTTCAGAAATAAACCAACACATTAAAAGAACTTGGGGATTATTGCTGGATGCCAAGCCCTTCAGCATCTCTGGGAACAACAAATGCTTGAAGGATAATTTAAATTTGACATTTTGCTTCTAATGAAATTTAGTTTTATAGCAAGAAACTCTTCCAAGAAGCAGAATTCCTTCTTCTCTGCAAGTCTAACAATGTAACTCTGCCAGGCCTAGAACCACTATTAATTTCAGAAAGTCCCTGGGGAACTTACTGTAAAGCGAGGAGGAAAACACAAAAATCAATTTTTAAGTTAATTTTAGGAGCACAAAAAAGAGGCAATCTTTAGAAAGTTTCTGCACAGAAAGCAAGTCCTGAATTTCTACTTCTGCAGTGACCGTGGTTTGTGTTTTCTTTTTCAAGCACAAACCTTGAGCACCAGTTTCCACACTGCTCAGCCTGGGACACACTCCCCCAGCCCAGCATTTCACAGTGCTCCATCACTTAACTTACTGCTACTGACAACGTGCTCTGACATTTCTGAATTTAACAGTAACACCTGTCCACTACACCCTATTCAGTTCTGAGCCAAGGTACAATTTTATCATCATTTCTGTGACTTTTTGAAGACTGAAAAATCAGAGTTAGTCACAATGTCAGACTTCTCTAGCCCAAAATAATTGCTCACCCACAGCTTCCTCAGTATTATGTGAATAGTCTTTTATTTGCATTTCTCTAAGAAGCTTTGTGTTATATGAATCAACTTTCTGTTCATTTTTGTTTAAATTCCAGATTCAAAGGAAGATTGGATAGAACATTGTATTTCACCATTTTGTGTTTATTCAAGGCACCTTCTGACAGGATCAGATAAAACAAAAAGTTAACAATTTTTTGTCAAAAAAGCTTACCGACAGAATTCATCAAAATAATTACTTCTATGACCTAAAACACTGTTTTAATGATGTTCCCCCAAAAACAAAGACAGAAAAAAGTAGTCTGAGTGAACACCAAGCAATAATTGTACATACCCACGTCTTTGACTTTCTGCTGCATTAATAATACAGCACTATTAGTTTTGAAATATCTGAAGTGAATGGCTCATTAATTTTTCACCTTAAGCTTAATAGAAATTTGACAAACAGTTTTATGCTGAAAATAGACACTCCAAGCAGGACTTCACAGCTCGTGATGGGAATAAATTAAAGCATAAAAGACAGAATAGTGTGCATTTGGTCAAATAAGATGATTCTGTCACTCAGTTCCTGAAGTGAATAGTTGGTGCAATGCATTCCTATGAAAGAGGCATTCCTACATTTATTCATTCCCAGGGCACATTCTGCACTGTCCTTTGTCAGCACTTGATCTTGTATTAAGCATGACAAACCCAAAGATGTATAAACTGACATGTCATAGACATTTATGTTATTTGTGCTTTGAACTCCTACCCAGCTTCCCTCCATCTTTGCTGGTAACATCCAACAGCTGTTAGCTCCCACTGGCTGTCCTGCAGCCAGTCACAATGATCTGTTTCTATTTCTCTGAAACGTCAGGTTATCTGTTTTTTCTGGCTTTTATCTAACTAAAGATAGAAGCTGCAAGGAGCTGAGCAGCACCTACTACAGGAAGGCTCTGGGTACTGACCTTACACCACCATAATTCTGCTAAGCAGCAGCTACTTGATTAAATCTTCATCTACAGCAGCTTGCAATGCTGTCCCCACATCCATTTTTAAGAGAGACTCTTCTAACTCAAAAAAGCAGCCTTCAATTAAACCTACACATCTCATTTAATCTCTGCTAGACTCACCTGCTACCTCAAAGTCACTGACATATTTTTTGCCTTCCTAAATTTTCTCTTTGAGCAAAGAAACTCATTCTAGCTGTTATTTCTTGCTGAAAATTGATATAGTCAGAATACTGACCCAGAAAAACTGATGCTGTTCTGCAAGCAGTTATGAACAGGAAATTCTGGGGAAGCACTCCCCAACTGCTCACCAAAGTCACATGAAGGTTTTTCTGCATATTTAGTCTAACAGAGACCTGTTCCTCTAACAAAAAACAGTCCAAGGTGTTTGAAATGGAAGTATGAATGGATTTTATTAATGCCAAGGAGAAGACCATAACTTCAAACTTTCATATTTCAGCTAGGAAAAGAAAAAGCAAACAAAGAAACAAACAAAAAAAACCTGTCTCAGAAAAAAATTACTCAAGAGGAGCAGAATCTGGAGCAGGCGCCTACAGAGCAGAACTGGTAACAAGCAGTTTCCTGCTATGTCTTTATTCACTTCTCTATGAATGATCCACTAGAATTGCAAAGTGGAACATATGCCAGTTTTGA